TGAAATTCACATCTTCTTAACCATGGAGGTCAGCAGAGATAAGTGGGCACCTTCATGCTCCACCACTTCATCAATGGGAGAGAACTGTCCAATACTCATTAATGGAAAGTCGGGTGGGCCCCAGAATTGGTCTGAATGCGGTGAAGAAGGGAAATATCTCTGCGTGTGACCAACAGCTTACTCATATGTACATCATATTTTATAATTCACATAACTTGAATCAAACTACTTATAAAAAAGACATTCCAAGAAAAACTTAAGATGCCCACTCTCTTACAAATTCCTATAATTACCGAAACTGGGGGGATTATACATTAACAATAAAAATCACAGATCACTCTATGCCAGTGCATGAAGAAAATCTGTTTACAGAATAAACATGGAACATTATAACAGGGAAAGAACCACATACCCTGTTTATACAGGACTGTGATTATGGCCACGAAAAAATGCACATAATAAATTAACTATACTTGTACTGCCACAATAGTAAGAAATCATGAACTGTGGCTCTCGGTTGGGACATACTTCATGAAAATTGTACACATTTCAAGATGGAATATGCGCACACAGATGTGACTAATCTCTTTTCTTCACACAGTGATGAAAAATTTTAAATATAAATTAATATTTTCATGCCACTGCCATGATTTATGAATATATTGTGGGTGTTAAAATGTTACTAATTAATACTTTGTGATCATACATACAAATAAGATTGAATGATTGATTTACTAACTAACAGTGTCAACTACCATCATTATGTACAGTCAAATGGTAGGATGACAGCATATGACACACTGAAACGCATGTGGCTGAAAGTGGTCATGACCTGTTTTAAGTTGCACTTGCATGGCGGAGCAATGGACAATCACAAAATCCTCAGTCTCCACAGGTGATGTCCAGCCCAAGACTAAAACCTGGGACCTGCTAAATATGATTCAGGAGTATCAACCTTTCAACTGTGACATTTGCACACAATATTTATCACAATCACTTGTGAAAGAACTCATTTCCAATCTTGTACTATAGAACACTATAAGGAACAATTAGGTTTATCCACTGACAAAGACTAAAAACTAGAAGTTTAAAACGAAGCCAAATTACGCTGGAGTCTACATCTGCAATCAGGTGTCTTTCTGATATCCACAACGGAGAGATATGCGTCACATCCTGATGCAGAGAACACAATTATTTTCCTTAATGCTAATTTCTGCACCACCCACCTATAGGATATGTTGAAACCTGTCATGTTATATGCAACATCACTGTAGAAATGCAGCAATGCTGAACCAGAATGCGCCACCACCTCAGGTATCCTCCTGATGCTGTAGCCATCCTTGTACATAAGCCCGCTACAGACAGAAAGACACACGCACTATAATATTTTGCTTAAGTGTTAAATGACACTTATTCATAACCAATACTAATACAACCACCTCACAATGAGACTCGATAAATTTAACAAAACAACCATTTTCAAAGAGCAGACTTTCTTCAGCTGCTTACAGATAAATAATCCCCTATTTTATAACACCCACAAGTTTACAGTGTTCACAAAACCTACCCACCGTGTGTCATTTCAATCCACAAAATCCTTTTCTGTAAGATTCGTTATGATTCTCTCATCTGACTGGGGATAGCAGGAGACAAGAACTGCATTAAGAACTTTGGTCAGGAAGTCTTATGGAAACTGTCCCCTTAGAAGACCAAGGAGATGGAAAGATAGCATCAAGACTGATCATACAGATATAGGTTGTGAGACTCAGAGGTAGACAGGACTCAAAATCATGTGAAATAACAGGTACTGGTAATAGCAGCACTGAGACTTCAGGTTCACTGTTAGAGGTCGCGCGAGTAGTCGTGGCACCTAAATGTGCGATGTGTAAGCCGAGAGAGGGGAGTTCAGTAGTAGTGGGGGTCCCACACCCTCAGCTGTGGTGTCACACTGATCTAAACACAGCTAGAGCTACAAACCAACTGAAGCTGACACCCCTCTAGCGCGTGCTTCGGACGGGTCCATCTCACACGACCAAAATCAGTCCTTTGCGCAGGTGTCAGCATTTCTCGCGCGACCCATACCTGTAGTAATTCATACACAGAAAACATGAATTTTAAATTGCACTAAATCTACTCAATTTAACCTTAAGGTTCTCTAATACCAATGTGTGTGTCTGTTAAAACTTTACTTACAGATTTGTTATGATCTATATACAAAATGTTGGATGCTTATCTCTATTAAGCTGTTAATTATCACATTCATACATAGATTTAAAGGGGCTGCAATGTTCTGCTGCTCTACATTCTACAAAAAAGCATTACCTTAACCTAAAAGTTTTAAAAATTCTACTGCCACACAGCAGTTCAGGACATCACAGTAAGTAGAATGTGCATCACTCCCACCTTGCAAGTTTGTATGGCTGCCATATTGGTATTACTGATAACAGGAAATTAAAAAGTACAAGGGTAGGGTAGCTTCTAGTGGTGTAATGTTCATACAACTGCATGAAAATCTATCAGCTGATTCAAAAATTACTGAGGTGAGGGCAGACACCCGGACAGATGGATGAACATGATGATACCGTAAGCCCAATTTTTCCTTATAAAATAGGGAAACTAGACTGAAAAAGTTAAAGCAATAAACACAAAAAACACAGAAGTACTTCTCTACCAGTGGTCTGATGGTCACTGCAAATATATGACTTAATTTCTACCTACATATGTATAATACACATTTTACCATAGCTGGAAATTCTAGTATTTCACAACTAGTGACTTCTCCACTCCTTGTTACCTTCTAGTAAACAAGTAGTTTGTGTTAGACATCACATTTTCTGCACAGTCTCTCACTAAGTAACATGTAATTACTTGTCCTAATGTAATTTAATACTTCACATACTCTCATGCTCAATTAATTTGTAATTACAAATGTGGGTAATTACAATCCCACCAATTTTAATACCACACAAATATATGCATCACAGCATGGCACAACTTCGGAGTGTCGATGGAGCAGACCATCTACAGATATGGGAGGTAGTGACGGTTCTCCAGCCTAGTGGGTATTTATATTTATTTAGTGTTCTGTCTGACGACAGGTCCATATGAACAGGATCCTTCCATCCTTTTCTCGGACTGGGACCTGTTCATATATGTTCTTGGCAGATGATCCAGAAGTGGTTTGCCATTGCCTTCTTCTGTGTGTGGATGGAGTAATTGTTGGGATGCCACGGAGGAAAACTCTGTGTTGCCTAGACCACGGCCTTGCCCAACACAAGTTATAAATTCGGGCACCGCCGGGAATCGAACCCGAGACCCCAGGATTACAAGGCCAGCGTTCTAACCGCTAGACCACCGTGGCTATCCACAGATACTGTTTACTAAGACAACCTACCATTCCACTGCCGTGCTTCAATCATACAATGGATGCAAAATAACTCCAAGCTTAAGGTGTGTCACAATTAAGTGGGGAGGGGGAAGGTGGAAAAATCAAAAGAAAGCAAGATATCTCAGCATGTATAGTGTTACTGAAAACATTTTTTCTCTTTCAATTTTGACACAACCAGTGGCAATTTGATATACTGACTTTTTTAGACTATGTTGAATTATGCGAACCATAGGAACTATAAAATAATACCAATGAAGGCACGTGCCTTAACCTGTAAGCGCTACTTCTACAGTCTAAACATAATCATTTTATATCAAAAAGTATATAAGGAAGAATTGGATTATCTGTCCCTCTCTGCTTCATAATCCTCCCCTCGTACCACATGTACATTTGTAAAGATCAACAAAGCTCAGAGTTATTTTGCATTCACCAAATTGCTTGTTTCAACCTAATTTCCACATTCCACACCATTCTGCAAACGTATTTGGCGTCTATATGAGGCAGACAAGTGTCATATCCTGAACACACACTAACTATCAAAACTTAACTTGTCAGTCACTCAGACCCATACTTAAGTAAGAGTTCTTAATAAAATGAAAGTTCTCTTAAACACAATATTTAAAATGATATTTAAGAGTGTCAGAACAAATACTGAGATCAGCTGCCATAAAACAAACTCTTGCAGAACACATAACCTGATCTGTTAAACTACATATATTTGACAGGCTGCATTCTTTGGCACAGTGATGGTACAGTAGCAACATGTGGTAATGTATGGAACAAATATATACAGATACCTTCTGCATCACAGTACATTCCACATAGAACAATTTAAAAATTGCTGTTTTCTGGTTTTTACAGTGTAACACAAAATTCTTTTTATCTGACCTGTAAAAACAAGAGTGGGTTATTGCATTACATGCAACATTTGTTAAAGTTCATCCACACATCACTATCACAAACTTGCAATGTAGATTGAGGAATATGACAGAACTAAACATGCAGTGACCTGTAACTGCAGACATTCACTCACACCTGTCAGTACTACCAACCACCATAAATGAAAGTTCCCTCAAGACTTCCAAACATTTTACAAAAAAAAAAAAACTTTCTAAGTCTTTAATGAACAGTTTTGCTAGTGATGAGGCGGTGGATGACAAAGAGGACAGAATGGCTACTAGCTGTTCAATTAGTCGCAGAAAGTGGAATTTACCTTTTAGCCTGTTGGATCTAACAGTGCTGAACAGTTAATATCATTCTACCAAAAACAGACAGACAAATGTAAATTCTGTCAGGCTTTAGATCAAAACTTGTTGAAAATGAGTGTAAGGGAGCCTCGACTTCAATCCAGGCCACAAGGAAGACAAATCCCACAAGCCAATAAAGTGATTCCTCTTGAAGCTCAACATACTGAAAATTGGCCAGCTGCAGGACTATGCTTGTAGCACCAAGAATAAAAGAACAACTACAAAATCTCTTTGCGAGAATTGTAAAGTTGGCTTCCGTACTGAGCCCCGTCCTCATATTTTTATATAAAAGTAAACTCCTCACCCTTCCCTTACAATATTTATATTTACTAACAATAACATTTATTAAAATATAAGTAATGTACTGTGCCCAACTGGCACTCTCAGGATTGAAATAATATCCACCCAAAGTCACACAGTTGATCCAGAGTCCGGGAGGTGGTACGAATATCAGGATTACTGAGGTTAACCCCCATAAATAGAAGGAACATTCCAAATTACCAAAATATATTAAATGTATAAATAAAAAAGGGGGACATACAGAAAAAAGGCCAAACAACAAAAGAACTGCAAACCAAACCCACATGGCTCAGGCCCCAGCTGGAATCCCGATCAGCTACCTTGGTGCATACGCAAGCCAAACACAATTTAGAACGTGCCCTTGACAGACCGAGAAATGGGTCCTCTGACTCTCTCCCTGCACGGTGGACACACACAGACTGTCCGCCGCACTGCCTCTTTAGGGCACCGAAACCTGCGTCTCCAAAGATTGTGGAGATAGACCACTCCGAGCCATGAGGCATGGCTCAGTACATTTTGATTTACATATCGTGTATTTAATTTTCTTTATAAATTTATAGCCCGCTTTGGGAACAGAAATATGTTATTAAAATACAGCACTACAGAATGGTGCAAGAATTTTTTACAATATTTTAGCTTTAATAGTTTGACATATACAGACATGCTCTGAATACCAATTTTTATTAATGGTTAAACCCCCAAGTTAAAATCTGGCCACCATCCAAATAGTATTTAAATACCTTATTCCCATACGACAAAAGTTAAACATGCTAAGAGACAGACAGACCTCATGCCTGTGCTCACTTCATGCACTGTGAATAAAGAACACTCAATCACTGTATATGCTAGTAGCCAGTGTGACTGGAAATGGATTCTTGTTTCAAAGTAGTTAATAAAAATACAGGACAATTATGCGTCTTTCAGGGACTACGAGACAAGGCAACGAGTATTGCCCTGATGATGGGAGGCAACAAGGACCTCTCAAACATTGGCAAACTTCCACCAGACTACACAGTACAACCCAATAGGCAGCCATCTTCAAAATATGGGTCAATTACACATGTATGAGATACCTGTCAACCCCACAATAGACCAAAACATTTTATATTTAAATATACTCAAAAGATCCACAGATAAATAATGGAACAAACTTATGAAACTGATTCAAGAATAGAGCTGAAATGTGAAGCATGCAAGCATATTCCATTTGCTACAACACAGATGTAACACTTTTACAGTCAGTGTCATATAAAACTTTGGAACATCAAATGCTTCACCTGCTATGAGAATCAACCAACAATCTCACTATACTTTTGTTGACTGATAGGAAGGGCTTACGTCAATACAAATTACATATGACTAAAGCCCTTCTTATGAAACACCAAAGAGCAATAGATATGTTTTAGTTTTGGTTTGGTATCCAATTACTTAAATTTTTTAAGACCAGAAGGGTTTTATGGATAAAAGTATATAGCATATTCAAGTTTTCTATAAGTCTATTTTATCTGTAACCATATAAGTTATTTTTACATAATATTAAACTCTTACATTTAATTAAATTTATGCAGAAATGAGATGCAATAAATCTGCTTCAAACACCTTAAAGTTAACTGCTTGTCTAATATTGTGGATTCCTAAAGGTCATACATACATATACTTAAATTTGTCTGTGCAGACACATCTAAGTAAAAAAAGCAACTCGTTTTACCAGAAGAAGCATTTCATCCACAACCTATGTTACACAAATGTCAATCCAGATCTGTCTGAGCAGTTTGGTTCAGTTTTCTTGCATGCATGAAATGATGCATTTCTAACACAGAAAATTACAGTATGTGGATAATGTAGTTTCGCCTGCACACACCAGCCAATTCTCCCACACAGTGAGATTCGATAGCACAGACAAATCTTATTAATCTGAGGTTATATAAGCAATTTAACATTCCTCAGATTTTCTGAATGAAAACTTTGACTTCAAACATTCATACAAATGTATAACAACATTTCATAATACTATTTAAAACTCCACTGTCACCACATAATACTCTGGAATCTATAATATAAAGATCATGCTAACCTAAACACTGCAAGAAGAGGGGAGTGCACACTATCTCCATCGAAGATATAAAGATGGTCCCAACCACATTCAGTGGCAAATTCTTCCAAGTGCAAGCGAATTGTTGCATTTGGAGCACCTCCTGCATCCACCAACCAACTGCACTTTACGTCAATGGAATAATTACCATGACCGTCATGGATGATTCCCGTCTTCTCTGTCAACCTATCACCACGAACGAGAAAAAGAATCACATGGAAACAAGCCTTGTCATAAAACTGGTTGAAAAATTGTTACCTACAACATAACCTAACAACCTATCTGTTGATACATGTTTAGCAACATGCACAACAGTTTTACACAATGATATATCATCTGAACTACAATCCATACCTAATTTTACCCCCACAAAATTGACAGTACTGGCCTTGCCAACCATCAAAACAAACACAGTTTGTGTCATTTTCACACTTTCCGTTCACACACTGAACACTTGTACAATTTGTACTAGAAACCACGCTCACTACGAAAGAATATATCATACCAAGACACAACAATGAGCGCCGAAAGTAATATTTTCGGCGATATTTCGATTTAAACAAGAATAAAAACATCTGCAGGTTCCCTGCCATCTTGAATTATCCATTTCCGGGGCAGACCATGACGTCATGTGCGTAGCAAAAGACTGTTGTTTTTTGTATGGAATACCACTATTTCCATACAAGAACACGTTATGTTCTATGAATTGAAAAGTGTGGCATAATTGGGTTATTCCATAGTCAAATTATTTAAAATGCACCTCTTTTATCTCAATTTCAGCTGTTTAAACCGCCATGGTAACAACTCGTTGACGTGTAAATGGTCATCGACCCCAACTGTTGGTTACAGTGCTTCGGTCATGTAACGAACATACCTTTGTCGTAAAATTGCTACTAAGATATTAATATGTGAATTCAAACTGAATGCCTTTGTTACTTAAATGGTTTTGTATATGTTTCTCAGCGTGCAAATAAAATTGAGGTGTCACTGTACACGATGTCGCATAATTGTCACATGAAATACAGTTATTTTTGCGATGGACGAGACTGTGGAACTGAGCGTCTAACGGGTCTTTTGTCCATCGACTCAATATATGAACGCATATGGAAATATTCGTGGAATGATGGCAGGGAAAACCTATTCTAGTGCCACTTTGTCATACATCCCACATTTCCTATCGTGACCTGGGCGCGAACTCTGGCCTCCTGCACAGTGAGTAGCCGGCGAATAACCAGACTATGAAGTGACGTGAAAGCTCTAGGTGTTACTGAATGCTGTCATATATATGATCTTCAGCTGTTCGTGCAATGTGGGTCAGGTTGGGCGCGTTCGTTTAGAATGGAACTGCACTGAAAGGACTTAAAAGTGCGACGTATACAATGTGTTCCTTTCAATTGCTGTGGTGTTGAAGACGTTGCGTTGCCATGGGGATGTACCGGTTTAATGCTCTGTTAACCCTACGACTTTGTTACTTTACATCAGTCTTGAAACTGGCCAGAAACGGTTTACCTAGTCCGTCCCCATAATATATACAACTATCATGCACTTTAACCGCCACTGATGCAGCTTTGTAAACTTTAAAAACAATTAACACCTTTTAATTATTCGTGTATATATAGGGTCTACATGAAATCCAAGAGGTGTAATATCAGGGTCATCTCAAAGTAACGGTGCACCCGGTGGTCCTGGGAGAGATTGCATAAACGTCCTCCTTCAAGTGTCCCCACAGGATAGAAAAAAATATCAATCGGAGTTCGATCCGGCTACCGAGCGGGCCACCTTTCTGGATATGTCACGTTCAATCACTGGTGAACATCTTCCCCATAGTGCACAGTCGTGCTAAAATCATAACCTTTACTTCACAGCTAGAGGCACAACTTCAAGCAACCCTGGTACAACAGTTTCCAGAAAATCACGATATAAGTAAGCAGTCAGCCCAAGCGCTGACAGTGAAGAGGACCTAATACACACTTTCGCAGATAGCACGAGGATTATCCCGTGCCCAGAGGTGGCTATTGTGGACGTTGGAAACGCCTCCACGCGTAAAACCAGTTTCGTCTGCCCACAAAATGTTACATAAAAGGAGCTTATCTGCAGTGAGTTGGTGTAGCCACGGCTCGTTCCACAGCTGCAAGTATGGCGTCTTCATTGGATGGTGTCCATATAGTCCGTGGGCGACCTGTGTTCACGTATGCCGTGTTACACGTCCTGGCTCACGGAGACGCTACTCCAGTCGTCGCCTGGATGACGTCGTCCAGGATAACGTAGCGCGTATTACCGTGCAGCAGTACTTTTACAGGCACCGAGGGTTATGAGCATTCGACATGATCATTCGGTCACAAGTGAGCCCTGCTGTGATCTGTGTGTCTTGATACTGAGAAGTGTGTTAACCCATTTGACGCTAACGTGTATCTCGAAAACTAAGCGTCTCAGGACACATGTAGAACGATTTATTTTTTAACAAGGGATCACACTACGGAACCCTTGTGCGAGAATTTAGTATCACTTTGGATATTCGTAACGTATAAGTGAATGAATTATAATGTTAATTATTTGGTTCCAACACTAAGGTGTGCAAAATTTAACCTAATGTTATAAAAATCTTATCCCTCTAAAACACAATTCCTCCTTCAGTTCACAACTTAAATTAAATGTTTCTCTGAAAGTGGATATGTCAAGCAGAAATAAACAAACAAAAAACATGGGGAAAGATTTACAAAAATTAACAAAACTTCAAAATTTTTAAGTAAAACTACTACTGATTAAACTTCTGTATCCACCAGTACTTTGAGATTAATGTCCACCATCGCTGAGTGGTCTATTTATGCGGAAACATGTAGTGGGGCTGAGGGTACTACTTCAGTACTTCAATAAATGTACAACAAAGTGAAAATACTAAAAGTTCAGATGTTGTACTATGGCCTTCTACAAATAAAAACTTAATTCATGCTGCGTTAAGAAACATCTATCTATGTGTCGAAACAAGTAATGTAGTTTTGTAGGATTTAAGGTTCTCACAATGGTGAGTACAAAGATGTTTTTCTTCTGGGTTATAGTGTCGTGTAATCTGGTAAAAGTTTACCAACGTTTTAGATGTCCTTGCTGCCTCTATCATCATGAGTAAGCCACACGTGTGGAATCGGTAGTTTTACAAAATCAGCCTGTGTATACACAGCTTGAGATAAAATTCTGAAATAAGACGTTTAACCCAGGCTATGTTTCAGTGATATTTATTGGGTGCAGACTGTGAATGGCTTATTTATTCAACATCAAAAAGGGTGCATTGTTTTGTGTACAAATTATTTTTTCATACAGATTCTGCATTTATCCAAAGGTGGAAATAATGACTAGAATCATGCATTTATGACCGCTTCACATCATGAAATTGGACAGGAACATTGAAAATGCTGATGATCCACTACAGTTGACTAAAGGTATCTGTAAATGTAGACACACAATTGACAGTTCAATTTAACAGTGATTGTCAATACTGGAAGGAAGTACTAAAAGAGAATCAAAATGGTCTTTAAATTTTTATCATCAAGATGGCTCTGTTTAGGGCAGGAAATCCAAATAATTGGCTAAGTCAAAAATGGAAATTATTTCAGCATTATGGAACTTTTTAGTCAATTGATCCATTTTTATGCAAACACATTAAAAAATACGGTAATGCTGGAATGGGAATCTCGTCACACTTCTCTGAATCTTGGTGATGTTGTTACCTCATCTTTAAAAGATAATAACAACTCATTAATGAACTGTAGAGGTTTATCATATGACGATGCAGTGAATATGTCAAAGCATTATTCAAGATTGCAAGCCAAATTTAAAGAACAAAAATATTCTTTATATGTACCACGTGCAGGACATTCTATAAACTTTGTTGGTGTGCAGGCAATAATTGTAACTTAAATTTATTGTATACTTATTTTCATGTTGTCCAAAATATCTACAATTTATTTTCATCACCGACACATCATTGGGAAATACATTCTTCACCTTTGTACTACATAAAGATGGCGGCATGCTCCACATCCAGCTGTTTCGGCTCTGGGCAAAGAGCCTATGGTACCCACTTGATATGTAGTTGGGCGGACCTCAGAGCACAGTACATTGAGAAGAATCTCCACCCTGCTAAAAATTTAGCCCTTAGCAGTCACTATACTGAAAGAGCTACCACATTTGATAGGTTTCTGGTGCAAATATTTCTCTGTAGACTGGTTATATATTGTTACTAACTTCTTACCTTCAAACTACTCACCTTTAGACTTTATACATGCATTCCAATGTTTCTGACATTTCCCAAGGTCAAATCAGCACCGTTGTCACATTACAGTGAATATCTTAAAAATATTTAATATGACACCTTTCAAGGGGGTTCATAGTTTTGAAATTACCACATCAGGTGAATAGAATAGATATTCCTAATCTGGTACTTACTTCTTGGCCACATAATCATTTTACTGACAGTCTTATCATCACGATAAGAAAGTCCAGACTTCTTGCCAAATATTTAGTATTTTTTAATAATTTCACTGCCCTAAATTTTTCAAGGTTAGTGTTTTGGAGGAACAAGTTTATATTGGATAATTCCATTATTATATGTAGAACAATCAAAAACTTTCTGGACTTGTCATAAACAGGGCCACTCTCAACGTACTTACTCTTCTTGGCGTGAACATACAGAATGGTGGCAAGTACAGGACTCATTGTGTCTAGGCTGAGTCCAGGAATTGTTTTACTGTTATTATTATTATTATTTAGTGTTCTGTCTGACGACAGGTCCATATGAACAGGATCCTTCCATCCTTTTCTCGGACTGGGACCTGTTCATATACGTTCTTGGCAGATGATCCAGAAGTGGGTTGCCATTGCCTTCTTCTGTGTGTGAATGGAGTAAGTGTTGGGATGCCACGGAGAAACCGGGGAAGAAGCCCCCGGAGGAAAACTCCGTGTTGCCTAGACCAAGGCCTTGCCCAACACAAGTTATAAATCCGCCCTACTATGTGAGAAAAGTAGACTGCTGTTTCAGCCTTAAATTTTTACATTCTTTCTTTGTTTTCATGTTTCAGGAGCATCTAGGCTTTCTCATTGGAGGCTTTGGCGATTTGTGGATCATACTGGAAGACCTAGATGTCATCACCTGTCAGTATTTATTTCAGAACGTTGGATTCTTCCAGCATTATCAATGAAAGGCCTGAGAATTGTTTTTGACATGATATCAAAACAATTACAAAACAAACTGGAGTTTTATAGAGACCATGAAATAAAGACTGATGAGAGCTAAAGATAACTGGTAAATTTAACCTAACCTGTGTAACTAATCTCTCTCCATTTTTATAACCAAATGTAAAGATTAGAAGGGTGTACTGTGAAATGTTAGATGGGTGGTAAGGAGTTTATGTGGGGTTGAAGATTTCCAGGGTTTACAACTAAATTGGTATGAGCCAGGATAGCTCAGTCAGTATAGTGACTGGCTACGGGCTGGACGACCGGGGTTTGATCCCCGACGGGGGCAGAGGATTTTTCCTCTAGCCTCTGCGTCCAGACCGGCTCTGGGGCCCACCCAGCCTCATCTACAATGGGTACCGGGTTCCTTTCCCGGGGGTAAAGCGCAGCCAGGGCATGATGCTGACCACTCACCCCCATCTAGTGCCGAGGTCAGAAAGAGAGGAACTATACCTCCACTCACCCCAAGCGCCTACATGGCACGTAGCGGGACAAACTTTACTTTACATCTAAATTGGTGTTGTTACTGATTATGGGTTTATTGAGGGATCTGACAAATTTTGGTTGACGACTGTTGGATCAGAATAGTTTAATCCTTTTAAGACATCTTTCTGAAGCCAGTGGATGCTGATTGGTTAGTATGGGTTTTAACTTCACTGGTGTTGAGTTACTTCTTTGTGAGGTATATTGGGTCATAAGTGGTTTTGTCAAGTAAGGTTAAAATCATTCCGGGTTTGGTGGTCGATGTAACCTGTGTTACACCATGTTACAGCAGCAAACTGATGGTTTCAGGGACCATTACTATTGCTGACATATGATTAAATTTAGGATTTTGGCTCTGACACACACTTACAACACTCTGATTTTGTATGAGGCAACATGATTTGTTTTCTCTTTCATGAAAGGTGATATCCAAATCCTTCAGTGTAAATCTTACATGTTCTTTCACAGGACAGAAAGAATCAGAGACTATCGATGCATCTTGGTTATTTACAATTTTAGGGGTGGGTTTCCCAGGATCTTTTCCAGTTTTATCTAAAGAAGTGGTGGCATCCAAAATCCTGCCCTTTGTGTTTTCCCTCGTCAAACGCGCGATCGCCGTTTTGTTCAGTCGTCACGACATTATCCAACACGAGTCTTGTCAGTTTGTGCACGTAAACATAAATCCAGTTACTTGTCAGATCCATTACACCGCCATTTGCAGCGAACAAATAAGATGAATGCTACCTAAAATATTATTTTCACGGAGAAATGAAAAGGCTAACCAGCCATAATAACTAACTAACTAACTAACTAGATTATCCTCCCATCTACGTCTAGGTCTCCCCAGAGGTCTCTTCCCCTCAGGCTTCCCAATTAGTGGACCCAACCAACCAGATGGCTTACGGAACCCGAAGGTTCATCACCGAACCAACCAAAGCCCTCCACCGGACCCCGTCCTGGGCCAAAAAAATTCCAGTCTCCTTCAACTCCTATCTCCCATAGATCCCGCCTGACATTATCCTCCCATCTACGTCTAGGTCTCCCCAGCGGTCTCTTCCCCTCAGGCTTCCCAAATAGTGGATCCAACGAACCAGATGGCTTACGGAACCCGAAGGTTAATCACCGAACTAACCAAAGCTCTCCACCGGACCCTGTCCTGGGCCAACAAAATCCAGTTTCCTTCAACTCCTATCTCCCATAGATCCCGCCTGAGATTATCCTCCCATCTACGTCTAGGTCTCCCCAGCGGTCTCTTCCCTTCAGGTTTCCCAACCAGTACCCGGTGCACACCTCTTGTCCCATCCATGCGCGCTACATGCCCCGCCCATCTCATCCTTCTTGACTTAATCACCCTCACAATACTGGGGGAGCAGTACAGATTTTTAATACATTAGAAAAACCTACACAGAACAGCACCACCTACAAGGCATTGTGTTTCTCCTGTGGTGCAGTCTGACTGAAAGTTTGGTAAATTCTAACCTTATTCCATTCTTTTAAGAAATTATTTTTGTGTAGTGGTATGAATTTTGATATTGTAAGCTGCAAAGACTTAGTTTTTCAGTGTTCTCAATTTTTGAAACTCTACTTTTTAATATCACTTCAAGGGATATAGACACTCTGAAAATAAAAATCTTTAACATATGCTGTTGTTAAAACCATATTTTTTTCTTTAAGCATTGTGTAATTCTAGCGCAAAAAAAAAAATGTCAATATCCAGCTGCTGTTTTTTGAGTACAGAGTTTGATATGTATCTTTGCGGTGACTTGCTGGCTGAACAAAATAACACTCTATACTCTTGTATATTTTTGTAGTAAGAGTCAATATCAATTGAATATGAGATCCTTGTAGTTGGAGAGGAGATAGTAGTTAGACACACGACAGTTTGTTGTTGTTCTCACCACTGTTGTACGGTCAGCTCTCTCAAAATTGGCTTTAGTAGTCTCGTAGTACCGGCCATCACTAAAAGAAGAAGTGCACCAGTTATTAAAAATGTAGAGCACTTTAAGATACTAAACAGTGAAGCAAATATTACTTTAACAAATGATACCTTCAGGTTCAAAGCATTTAACAGATTTTATGTACCTAAAAAGAGATGTGTGTGCGCATGCATGCATTTATTATATTTATTTTATTTAGTGTTCTGTCTGACGACAGGTCCATATGAACAGGATCCTTCCATCCTTTTCTCGGACTGGGACCTGTTCATATACGTTCTTGGCAGATGATCCAGAAGTGGGTTGCCATTGCCTTCTTCTG